AAAAAAAAAGCAACTTCATCTAATTAACCCTGAGCAATTAATTATGATGAAACAAACGCAAAACACAGCAAAAGCAAACAAACGTGGAGCTTACAGTGGGGTGTGAAAATACAATGAGTAATCATGTGTGTTGTGTGCATGTTGGAACCTCGTTGCTCTGGTTCATCTCTGGCCAGGCCTGGTTGAGTGAAGGCATGGAGGGAGATTTGTTAGGGGTGACCTCGACCGGGGAGCCCGAGTATCCAACGTCAGCAGTCGACTCCGAGACCTCTGAATACGAAAGATTAGACACAGGTTAGCCAGGTTCCTTAACAACAACCAAACACACAAATATCAGGGGTCAAAATGCAATACATAATCTGAAAAATCTAATTTCCATGTGTCTGTAGACATCTTTTCTTCAGAAAGTTGCATAAAATATTGTTTTATGGTTTTAGTTATGGGGGAAACAATATAACTGACCAAACCTCTGGTACAGGTTTTTTAACATGAGACTATGTAAGTTTTAAAAGAAGAAATTAAATTTAAAATTTGAAATTATAACCAATAAAACACATTCTTGCTCAGTTTAAGTGACTCAGGAGTTTTACAGTGAAAGCTTAAACTGGTCTGATATGACCAGTAGCTTAAGGTTGTAACCCTCAGAAATATAAACATTTACACATTTAGATTACAAGGATTGTTTCCACACACTGCTTGACTTTGCTCTGCATAGGGTTTGCACTACAGTTAAACACCAGGGGTAGATTTGGCAAATAATAGGCACAGAAAGAAAAAAAAAAAACTTTCTGGAAGCAGTTCATGAATACAACATAGTGCAAAAAGTACAATCTGCTATATAATGTTAAAATGAACTTGGCAATCCATGGATAAAATGATTTGTATGTAACATGAAACCTCCAATAGTTCTGCCTAATGTGCTGCTGCTATTCTCAAATACTGTTAAAATACCATAATATCCAAAGCAAAGCATTGTGTGAGAGTGAGAGAGAGAGAGAGAGAGAGAGAGAGGTTGTGTACCTGCTGAGTCATCCAGGTCAATCAGCTTTGGCATCAGGCTCTCGGGCAGTTTCTCGGGCAGGTCGTAGCCATTCTTCCTGGCCACGACCAGGTGGAAGGCGGCGCAGAACTCATCCAGGGTCAGCGCTCCGTCTTTATCAAAGTCTGACAGTTCCCTTCAAACACACACAGTTAGACATTTGTGAGTTTGTCGTCCTTTCAAAACGCGTCACAATGACAGCGGAGAGCTTTTTCAAACGGATCAGCTTCCTTTCAATCTGCCTTTATCGTCCCCACATCTTAAAAAAAGCTGTCTGCTGTTGCTAGTTGAGATGTTGCTGCAGGTAATCGGATGGGCATCAGTATGTAGCAGATGGCTCATTTACACACAAAGACCTGGTTATCAAGAGCTGAATACAACATTTAGTGACAAATATAGTGAAGTTCCCACAGTTAGTGATACTAGTAGAGACGAGTCCTGCTCAAAACAAGTTGTGACAACCAGAATTAAGGCTTGCTCCAACGATTAAATGAACCTGTAAGACTTGTAACAGCAGTTCACAACTGGATTTTGATGTGATGTAATTGATGTAATTTTATTGCCCTTCAAAACAATGACAAGCTGGTAGAGTGGGGTTCCAATCAATCATTTTAAGCAATTTCTATTCAAAGTAAAAGCCAGAATGTTGCTTTCTAACAGCTTTTCATCAATGAAGAAATGCTGATTTTCTCAACTTCTTATCGAGATCTACAGAGGATGTGGTCCAAAGAGTGGAGAGTGCGCAATAGAGACATATAATAGGAGAGGTGCCTCTCAGTTAAGGAAAGGAAGAGACGGACTCTTGTGACTATCAGAACTGTAAAAACTACTCTGAACTTTTACACAGATAACAATTACTTGAATGCCAGTATACGCACATGGTATGCTATAATGCTGAATAGTAAATGCCAGCGCAAGACGCTTCAGGAGCTGACTACACGCATAACAACGCCAGGTTATAGGCTAGCGAGAGAATAACTAGGTAAAGAGACGCGTTCGCTTCTTTTCGCCTGTGCTTATAGAGATGACTTGCGACCAGTGTCGCAGGCAGAATCTCATCAGAGGAAAGAGTCAGTGGCATTGCATTGCAATGTATACTTTGTTTTTTTTTGTTGTTATTTTTGGTTTTCTGTAATGTTTCATTATAGTCGGGCTGAAACCTGAAAACACAAACAAGAGCGCAGAGATTAAACAATCCCTTTTTTCAACACAAGTTTCCGGTTTTGCATGTGCTGTGATTGATGAGTGTGTGTGTGTGGTGTTGTGTGTGTGTGTGTTTTGTGTGTGTCAGCATTTTCCTACCAGGTATGAAGCCGGTGAGGTCTGGCTGGATGGTTTTGAACTGGTTAATATAATACTGTCTCTGCTCATCCGTGATCTTCCATGGATCGTCGTAGCCGCTGGACTGTCGCTGGATCTCATTGGTTGTTGCTGCTGAGGCCACAGTTCGTATCGTTGTGCTTTCCTACGGGAAACCAAATGGGACGTTTACAGATTCAGGAAAAGTAGCACTAGTTAAAAAGGAACACATACAATT